AGAAGAACAAAAAATAAAATTAAAAATCTGAATTTATTCAAGATTCTTTCTCCTCAATGAAGAGAAGAATCAGCTTGATGAAGTGCCACTAAAGATGCATAAATCCCACCAACCTTATTCACCAAACTTTCATGCTTCCCCTTTTCAGCAATGACCCCATTTTTAACAACAGCAATGAAATCTGCATTCTTGATGGTTGACAGCCTGTGGGCCACCACAATGGTGGTCCGGTCCACCATGGCCCGGTCGAGCGCTTCTTGAACCACTCTCTCGGACTCGGCATCCAGAGCGCTAGTGGCCTCATCCAATAGCAAAATCTTGGGAGCCTTCACTACGGCTCGTGCAATCGCGACCCGTTGCTTTTGCCCACCCGAAAGTTGGATCCCTTTTTCCCCAACAACCGTGTCGTAACCCTATATACAATACAAATCTAGTTTTATATTTCGTTCGATGAGTCTCAGTTGTTAGTTAATATTTGTTGTATTATTGTAGTGTAGGGTTAGGTTTAAGAGTCGGGGGTAACAGGTGCGTTCCCACGTACGTGAAGCGCACCATAACAGGGTGAACCCAAATGAAACTCAAGTGATGTTCCATTCTAAAACCAATTGGTTGAAGGAAGAGTAACTCACTAGGTTTATAAGGCAGACCTATTTTCTCTGTATAAACGATGTGGAAATAACAAGCATGAGAAATATTTACCTTGTGTAAGGCACTGATAAATCTGTGCGCGTTTGCCAGCTCAGCAGCGGCCACAATCTCGGCCTCTGTGGCATTGCCTTCTTTTCCATAGGAGATGTTGGCTCGGATAGTGTCGTTGAACAATACTGGCTCCTGGCTCACCACACCCATCTGCTGCCTTAGCCACCTCAAGTTTAGACTATTGATTTCGAGGCCGTCTAGTGTGATTCGGCCCGTGTTTGGATTGTAAAACCTTTGCAAGAGAGAAACGATTGTCGACTTTCCACTGCCACTTTCGCCCACAATCGCAACTGTCTGGTGAACGAATCGATATGATACTGATTATCAGTAACTATGCTAGAATTCGATATCACAAACATTGTGTGAATATTCGAAAAGAACAAGTGCTAAAAGCTCCTTACCTTGCCTGAATGAATCACCAAGCACAAATCTGTGAAAATCTGAACATCAGGTCGACTTGGATATCTAAAACCAACATGCTGGAATTCGATATCTCCGTTTATGTTTTCCGGTGTAATGCCTGAATCGTCAAACGAATCTATTTCTGATTTCTGGTCGAGAAGTGCGAAAATCGAGGCCGCACCAGCTTTTGCTCTACCCGAGTCCGGTGCAAAGGCTCCCGACTGAGATATCGCGACTGCCGTCATACTAAGACCAAGAAAAACCTGCCATTTTCAAAACGAATAAATTTACATGTCCGAAAGAGGAGACATAAAATCGGATTATTAAGTGTTTGCATACATTACAAACACAAGTCACAAAAACTGAAACCAAATTGCCACAAGCATGTGAATGTGCAGACGCTTACTCGGAAAACATCAGCAAAGGTGATTTTTCCGGCATCAACAAGCCGAGCCCCAGCATAGTAACTAGTTGCATAAACTGAATACAGAAAGAAGAGGGAAATCCCAAAGGCTGCTCCACTAATCAATCCATGTTTAATTCCTACTTTCACGGGCCCTTCACATTTTTGTTGGTGCAGCTGCATTACCTTCTCCTCTGCTGAAAAAGAAGCCACTGTCCGGATATTCCCGATAGCATCACTGCCGACTTGAGTTGCATCTTCATACAGTTTCTGCAAGAAGCCATTATTGAACTTTATTCATCAAGCAATCTGAGAAAAAAAATCCTACCTTTTTATGTTCTCTTTACAAAAATGCTACTCTTAGTTTGGTAGCAAATAAAAGACCATTTTCTTCATTATATAAATTAGTCAAAGGAAGCATTAGCCCATCCTATCTCACCTTAGAGTCGCCGCTAAAGCCCGCAACAAACCTCATGTGAACGTACCCATTGAGCCCGATAAGCGGCAGCATGGCCAGGACAATGAGCGACAGCTGCCAGCTGGCGCCAAACCCGATAACAAGGCCAGCCACGGCCGTAGCCACATTCTGCACGACCAAAGCAAGCGACTCGCCAACAAGGCTCCTCAAGCACTTGACGTCCCCCGAAAGACGGGCCCCAACCAAGAAGCCCGAATTCTCGGCCCGATCAAACCAGCCCATGTCCATACGCACCACTTTCTCAAAGCACATCAGCCTCAGCCTTCTAATCAGCTTGCAACCGGCCACGGAAAAGAAGTAGGTCCTGAGTGGGGCTGACAGGAGGGAAGCCACGCCAAGGACAATGAACATGCAGGCCCAGAACTTCGAATCTTCACGAAGCTTGTGGGCCGGCTCGTAAAAGGTTCTTATCGTGCTGGAAAATAACAGTCCGAAAAGTGGGAGTACTGAGCCGTTGACCACTGCAGCTAGTGAGCCGAGTATGAGCTCGGGAGTTTCGGGCTTGTTGAGGCGGGCCAGGCGATGTAGTGATAGTTTGTGCTTGGGCTTCGGTGGAGCTACTGTTTGGGTGGCGCTCGATGACGTTGGGAGGGACCTCGAAAATGATAACGACAGTGCATCCGACTCTGATTTGATTTCGGGTTCGTTTGTATCTTGATGAGGATTTTGTGTGAGCTGTATGAGCTTGCTGTAGGCTCCTTCTGGATTTTGGGTTAGTTCCGAATGTGAACCTGGGTAGTTGAAGCATAAATTTCACTTCTTATAGCTCAAGAAAAGGAAAGAAAACTGAAAAACATTTTAAGTGTTGATATAAACTGAAAAACCTTTTTCGACAATCTTCCTGCGATGAATAACGGCAATCGAGTCCGCATATTTGACCGTGCTGAGCCTGTGGGCCACGATTAGAGTTGTTCGGTTTAACATGACTCTTTCCAGTGCCTCCTGCACAGCCCTCTCGGATTCTGCATCTAGCGCGCTCGTGGCTTCATCCAGAAGTAGAATGCGAGGGTCCTTTAGGATTGCTCTTGCTAGAGCTATCCTCTGTTTTTGGCCTCCTGAAAGCTGAGTCCCATTCACACCCACCATTGTGTCTAGACCCTTATGAACAACACGAAACTCGAAAATGTGTGAGAACTCTGTATAAATACAAATAAAGAAGAAAAAACTAGTTTTTGCTGTTATAAGAAGCAAATGTGCATAAGTCTGACCTGAGGAAGTTTATCTATGAATTTAGCAGCATTAGCACATTCGGCAGCAGCTTCAATCTCCTCAACCGATGCACCGTCTTTTCCGTAAGCAATATTGTCTTTAATGCTGGAAGCAAACAACACGGGCTCTTGGCTTACGAGCCCGATTTTACGCCTAATCCACCTCACCTGGAACTCTTTGATATTTATACCGTCAATCAAGACTTCACCTCCTTGTGGGTCGTAAAACCTCTCGATGAGATTGATGACGGTCGATTTTCCACTCCCACTCTCTCCAACCAAAGCCAATGTAGTGCCACTCGGCACCATTAGAGAAAATCCGTTAAATATTGTGTCGTCTGGTCTTGATGGGTAGCTAAAGTAGACATCCTTTAGTTCTATATTACCATTTATGCCTTCAAGAACGAGTCCTTCTGTGCTGTAAGGATCGATGTCTGGTTTTCTGTGTATTATCTCAAATATTTTAAAGGCAGCAGCTTGACCGGCTGCGAATGAACTCAAGCATGGAGATATCTGTCCTAAAGAACTGAAAAAGGAGAGAAAATGAGAAGGTCCAAGTTTAAGACAGCACTTGCTGGTAAATATTTCTCATGTACTCTCTTGCTTCCAAACAATCATCAAAGCCTAACAAGACAACTTCACTTTCCGCAAACTTTAGAAAGATTCATGAACATCCACTTAAAACAAACAACGGTATGATCAACAGTAAACATGCGCCATAGCAAAAATGCAAGTGACGCGTTTACCGAATTTTGACTATTTTGAAAATATCGGACAATGTAATAAAATATTAGAAATGTAAACTTACAAGGATCCCAGCAAAATCGCCATTATCACGTTCAAAACAGCTCCTCCCGAATATCCTTTTGTTATAATCATTTTAGCTCCAAACCAAACGGCCAAGGCATAACTGCAAAACAGAACTAACATAAAAATCCCAGAGCCTAATCCAGCAGCCAAGCCTTCTTGAACACCGGCCTTATAAGCCTTGTTTAAAGACTTATCATATTTGGCAACAGCTTGCTTTTCTCCAGTAAACGATGCAACCTGCATGTATATATATGTACATAAAACTCAGACATAAATCAAGAAATGTTTTTTTTTTTTGTTAAAAAAATAAATAAATGTTTGTTTACAGTTCTGATTGCACCAATGGTTTGTTCGACCACAAGTGCTGCTTCCGAATAAGCAGCATGTCCACGTGACGAGAATTTTGCAAATAGGACGGTCATAAGAGCAGCCGATATTACAAGAAGAGGTATTGCAGAGAGCAAAACCAGAGTTAGTAGCCATCCCTTGATGAAAGCTATCATAAATCCTCCACAGAATGTTGCTGTAAGCTGTAAGAACTTCCCTATCTGCTTATTTTTTATAACCAATAAACATAAAAGTTAATAATCTTTGTTTCCTCGTCTACATATATATTCACTTAGATTGTTTAGCAGCCGATGTTAGCTAATATACCTTCTCACCAATAGCATCTTGAATTAACGTAGTGTCGGTAGACATCCTCTCGACAATTTCTCCAGTGCTGGTCTCCTTGTCGAAATATCCCATATCCTGCCTCAGTATAGCTCTCAGGTATAAATTTCTAATTCGAACCGCTTGTCGTTCGCCTGTGATCATCCAGCAAACCACCTCTGCCAACCAAAAACGAAACAAAAAAAAGAAAGGAAATCACATCTCAAACTTTAAGCAGTTACAAGAAAAGACTGAATACTTCTTCACACTTGAAAGAAGTTAAATTCTTACGTGAGAAAGCGGCAAAACCAGCCCCCACGGCAAGATACACAAACTTGAGTGACACCTGAAATAAATAAAAACGAAAAAAGGAAAAAATAAATGAACTGATTATTCATAATGGTTCAAAATTATTTAAGCATTTATTATACCTTGGAGACTTGATGAACAACTCTTCCAGTTCCCACGTTGTGTCCGAAAGAGTTGGCTAACTCGCCGAATATGATAGTCATTAGAGGCAAGCCCAGTCCGGTCCCAACAGCTGTGACTGTACCGACTATCATCAGTGCATAATCCGTGTGGTCTGCGAAGGAGAACAATTTATAGTATGGAACTTTGTTCACAGCTTTAGGCTCTTCGTTC